CAACTCGAAAAGATCACTTTCTCTTGCCCTTCATTGATCGGATGTTGGAAAGACTTATAGGGCATTTACATTACTACTTCTTGGATGGGTACTCAGGATATAATCAAATTATAGTGGCTTCAGAGGATCAGGAGAAGACTACATTTACATGTCCTTATGGTACCTTTGTATATAGAATAATGTCATTTGGGTTATGTAATGCTCCTGATACATTTGAGCGATGCACGATGGCAATATTTTCAGATATGGGTGAGAAAATCATTGAAGTCTTCATGAATGAATTTTCGGTGTTTGGTTTATCATTTGAGAGTTGCTTCTCAAATTTGGGAATGGTCTTGCAGTAATGTAACGAAACGAATTTGGTGTTAAACAGGGAGAAGTACCACTTCATGGTGCAAGAAGGAATAGTATTGGGGTACAGAATTTCAGCAAAAGGTATCAAGGTGATAAAGCAAAGACTCAAGTGATAGAAAAGCTACCTCCACTAAATTTAGTTAAAGAAGTACGTAGTTTCCTCGACCATGCAGGGTTCTACTTGATGTTTATCAAGGATTTCTCCACAATCACCAGCTACTGTGCAGCTAACTTGAAAATGATACACCATTTAACTTTTTTGATGAGTGTTTAACATCTATCAACTCACTTAAAGAAAAGTTAATTTCAGCACCAGTTATAGTTGTACCAGACTGGGAACTACCATTTGAGTTCATCTGAGATGCTAGACCTATGCAGTAGAGATAGTACTTGGATATCTCTCCTCAAGAGTTTAGAAAAGTCTATATGTGTAAAATTGTGAAAGAAACTTGGTATATCCTAGAAACCATACATGAGAAAACCAAAATCATTAAAAACTCTAAATTGCAGATGTTGACTACTAGATTTAAGGAAATTAAGATGAAAGATGATGAGTTTTTTTGCGATTATTATGCTAATTTAAATGATATAGTCAATTCTAGTTTCAACTTATATGAGCGAATCCCCGAGGATAAAATAGTGAGAAAAGTCTTGAGATCTCTACCTAAGATATTTAGACCTAAGGGTACTGCTATTGAAGAAAGCAACAACCTAGATACAACTAAGTTAGAAGAACTTGTAGGGTCTTTCCAAACATATGAACTTAGCCTACCTAAGAATAAGAAGAATAAACCTTTAGCCCTTAAAACTGCTAGAGAAGTACATAGTGACACCACTGTCGATGACAAACCAAATGATTCCACATGCTTTTCGTATAGTTAGTTAATTACCTTGCCTACTACAATTCATTGGGTTGCTGTTCTTCGTATTTTGAGGTATATACAGGGCACTCAGTTTCATAGTGTTTTACTTTTGTCTACTTCATCCTTAGAGTTGTAAGCATATTTTGATGCTGATTGGGCCAATGATTCCACAGATCTCCAATCTATTACTAGCTTCTCTATCTTTCGTGGCGATTCCCTTATTTCTTGGAAACGCAAAAGGGAAGATATTGTTTGTCGATCTTCCACAAAAATAGAGTATAGTGATAGGACTTCTACTACTTGTGAGATAGTTTGATCACATTGGTTGCTCGCAGATACTGATATATTTTTTCGCCGACCTACTTCATTATATTGTGACAATAAATGTTATTCAGATTGTGTGCAATTTAATATTTCATTAGAGGACCAAACATGTTAAGATTGATTGTCAAGTCACTCGGTATCCAAAATAGCTTGGTACTATCATAGTACCATTTGTTTCTTCCTCCTTGAAGATTACTTGTACAAGTCACATTCCACTTCTTGATTTAGTTTCTTGTTTGGCAAACTCTCGATGCTTCTTGAAGGAACATCATGGATTTAAGGGGAAATGTTAAATAGCTAAAGGGTAGGTTAATTTTTCCACTTATTTACTAGTCAAATTATTTAAAGATTCTTGTATTTTTTATCATGCAATTAATCAAGAAATCCTAGTCTATTTTCCTTTCTTTTTCCCTATACTTTGTTCGTTGATTTAAAGCTTTTCTGGTCTATTTTTCACCAGTTTGAATTTGGGTGCAGCAAATATCCAAGAAAAAGACTACTAAGATCTCTGATACCATTTTAGATCAACGGAGTTTTTGGAACATTTTCTTTATATGCTTACACGAGGAGTTAGAAAATAACTCCACCAAGGTTAGTTATTTGACTGATAATAATAAACGTGAGTTACAAAAAAAATGCAGCTGAAACAGAGATAAATACACTTGATCTATGTTCTCTTTGATCCGCACCATTCCGGAAAAGGATTGAATGAAGTTTGGATATTCCAAAGTTTGTCAGAATTCTTTTAAATGCCAAAACCAAAGTCTTCCAACTATCTACTGAGGCCTTAAATAAGAATAATAAAACCTTAACAAAATTAAGAGGAATAAACTAAAATAAACAAGCCATAGTATAAGTAAATTAATTAGTCAATAATCAAGTCTAAATCGATTCCAGTCAATTCCAGCCATGCCCATCTTAATCATCACGCGCGCCAACATTATCTTACTGGATTGACTGCTGACTGCAATTTTTCCTTGTTACATTGAAAGTTTAAGCAGCCATCTAGTATAACTTTGTTTGAGAAAAATAAATATAAAAATACCAAGCTGCAGCCAGCAGATCTTTTGAATCAGAGATTGCCAACGCCAATGATATTGAATCAGCATTCTCAACATGGTCAACTATGTATCCTATGTTCATAAGAAACTTTACGCATTAATGATAATATTTTATGTTTTTTTTTTAATACTCATTTTTGTATAAAATAATTCGTTAGATTATTTTTAGATTTTATATAAATTTCATTATTTTTTGGCGAGGAAGATGTATGTCCTTGTGAGTTTTTTTTTAACAGCTAAACTACCACATCAAAAATTTCATTGTGTTGTGGTTCTTGTCGCTATATACTCGAAAGGATAATAAAGTGCCCCATGAGATAACCTCTTTTGTGATTTTGGTCCATTTGCTAGTTCTTGAACTGATTATNTTTGTGATTTTGGTCCATTTGCTAGTTCTTGAACTGATTATGAGCTTGTTTGGGAGTGATTTTTAGGGGGAAGAATTGATTTTGAATAGTGATATGATGGGAAATGTGTGGTTGAAAAAGAAGAAAAAAATATTGATGTGATTGAAAATATTATTTTATTGAAGAATGTGTGGTTGAAAATGAGAATTGATTTACTGTAGAAAAATCTAAATCCCTCCCAAACAGGGCCATATCTATTTATTTTTATCACTAATTGTTGGCAGTGATTTAAGTTAGTGCAATTCTCTCGGGGAATCACCAGCTCAAGTTCTTATAATAAGAAAAATTAAGTATGTTTGGTAGGGATTTTTTGGAGGAAGAATTGATTTTGAATAGTGATATGATGGGAAATGTGTGGTTGAAAAAGAAGATAAGATTATTGATGTGATCGAAAGTATTATTCTATTGAAAAATGTGTGGTTGAAAATAAGAATTGATTTACTGTTGAAAATGAGAATTGGTACCAAACATATTTATTTAAATCATTGGATTAAAAGTCCTTAAAAAATCACTAGGAGAGAGTAAATGTCAGCTTCTTAAATAATATTTTCTTTAATAATATATCGAATGATCTTGAACTTTTATTAAAAGTCGAGTGCCTGCAATTTCTTTCACCATTTAATATTGCATTAAAAGACCTAGTTAGAGCACAATTTTCTGGTGGTTCTTCTATGTTGATGTATAATATGACAAAGTGGTTATTTAGGATAAATAATTTAACAAGCAATAAACCAAGATCATTATGAATCTTACAACCAATTAAATGTTCTTGTTGAAATACATATATATTAGTACCTCAAATGATGAAATTCTGTTTATGCACGTTCTCCAGAAAACAATAATTTACTTAACTTTTTATAATATATATTAATCTTAGAAGTTAATCATCTTTCTCAACGATTTTAAATCTTAGAAGATGATTACTTCATTTGCTAGAAACGATGGAGTTTTTATATATTCACTAATAAATTTAACGAGAAATTTACGGGGGTGTTCTCAAGTAAGATTTGATGGATTTTAAAAAATTATAAATCTTAATGAATTTCATGGATTTGAATAGATTTTCATAAATTTCATAAGAATTTTATCAAATATGGTAAAATTTCAAAAAAATTGATTATATGTATTTTTAAGCTTGAAGTCCATCCAAATCTTTTAAAATTACTCTATTAATGAAATCTTTATAAATTCACTAGTTATCGAGAATAACTAAATTTTAAAAAAAATAAAAATAATTGAATTTCATTAAAATCTCCACTGGGAACACGTAATGTTTAATGGATTTCATTAAAATTCAGTAAAATATCAATTGACGCCTAAATTTAGAAGGATATTTTTAAAATGTATCACAATCTCAATTGAGGACGCCCTAATTAATATTGCCTTATTCATGCAAGACCTAATCAACATAATTATAATAATATATATCAACACATGGTCTTTGACCAGTGCAGCAGTTTGTAATGGTTTTGAACCCATGCATACGTAATTAGCCCTGATCAGAGCTATAAATATATCCACTAAGTACACGAGTTTTATCCAAAAGCAAAGCTAGAAAATTGCTTAAAAGTGCTCATGAATCCTCTTTAGTTAGTTTCTTTTTATATAAATATTATGAAGAAGGCTTCATCCTCAGTTCAGATACAACCCCCTACTTATGGAAATCTGATCACAATTCTGAGCATTGATGGGGGTGGTATTAGAGGAATTATTCCTGCCACTATCCTTGAATATCTTGAATCTCAACTTCAGGTAATTAACTTATAAGTAGCTTTGTTCCTATTTTTATTTTTCGGGAAAAAAAAAAAATGGAGCAAAATATGACTTTTGACCATTTTATTCAAAAGCTTAAACTTTAGGGAAGAGACTCATTTATTTATTTACTAATTCGCTTCAACGCATCCAACATTGGGCAGGGCAAGATCAATTTTTTCTTCAAAATCTTGACTAATTGATAATTTTAACAAACAGTTAACAGTAAGATTTCAACGCAATATCTTCAGTTACCCTAATACTACTTTATGTTTATTAGATAGCACAAAAAATGTTTTTTTTTTCTTTAATCATTGTCTTTCCCGACCTTAATAATACTTTGTCTTTGTTAGATAGCAGACACCTATGTTTCTCTAAAAAAAATTAATTAGTTCCATCATGTTCTTGACGAAAACATGGCAATTTTAATGTTCGGGTGGTAGTCACATCTTAAATAAAAGTTCAAGTTATTTATTTATATAATTTTTTGTCTTCACTTGACCAAATTGATACTATAGTTATCTTGTTAATGATCTAACATTTATAATTGAAACTAATCAGAGACAAACACCAACATATTCATATAAAACATATCTAATAACAAGTTGCCCATATTTTAAAATGGAAGAGATGTTAACGATTCTACAATAAAATGCATATATAATATACTACATTGAACCGTGTATATAAAACTAATGACTAGAAATATGTGTTCTTCATTGCTAGGTGCTTGACGGTGAGAATGCTAGACTTGCAGATTACTTTGACGTAATTGCTGGAACGAGCACGGGAGGTCTAGTAACTGCCATGTTAACAGCTCCTAACAAAAATAATCGTCCGTTGTTTGCAGCTAAAGATATCAAACCCTTTTATCTCGAGCACTCCTCTGGAATTTTTCCTCAAAATAAGTATAAATTATACTCTAGTAGTACAACAAACGGTTACATTTTATACAAATCTTATTGATTTTATGACCATATTTTTATTGATGAGCACCTGTATTTGTATTGGTTTCGAATTGCAGTGGCTTACCGGGATTGGTCGGAAAACTGTTGAAACCTCTAGTTGGACCAAAGTACGATGGAGAGTACCTTCACAATGTTATCAGGGAGAGACTAGGCGAGACTCGACTGGATGAGACATTAACTAATGTTGTCATTCCAACATTTGACATCGAAAATTTGCAACCTATTGTTTTCTCCACATATCAGGTCTACCTTTCTTTTTATCATTCCTTTCCTCCAACTGTATTTGTTTGATTATATTCTTAATTGTTCAAGAACACTGAACACTAGACTGCTAATATTTTTGTTTGTGCTTTTTCCATCTGAAAACTGGAAACTGTAATATTCTGGCTAACCAATCAGTATATTATAAGTATTTACTTGAGGCCTCTCAATCAATTCAAGGGCCTTAGACAAAATTTTTGAGACTATCTTTTCCGAAAAGAATACTAATAAATTAAAATAGAGCAAAAAATGACAATAAATAATTCCGCCAATAATTGCCGGTATTCATCAAAACGATTCGATGAATGATCGCCTACGAAGAAGTTGATGGTATCAAGGACAAAATTTTATTGTTTCTTTATTTTATTAACAAGTTACTACTAGAATATTGTTTATCTATATATCTTTTTATTTTTCATTTGTAATATTAGTGGCAGATATTTAATTTCTAACTTCTTTTTCACTATCCACGATAGTTTTAAGATGTTATTCCCAGATTTGAAATCTCACATTGTTCATGAACAATTCCTTTGTCTAGAGCTTGGGCTAGATCTATATAGGCTACAAAAAGAATTGAGACAAACAGGGAATTGAATGTAATTCAGTCCGTATATATGTATATACAGGCCATAAGGACGCCAACGTTGGATGCTCGACTCTCAGATATATGCATTGGCACATCTGCAGCTCCAACTTATCTTCCTGCATATTATTTCAAGAACCAATATAAACAAGGCGATGTACGAGAGTTCAACCTCATAGACGGTGGTGTTGCTGCCAATAATCCGGTAAACTAATTATCAATAATATTATCACACATACAAATATATAGTTGTATACATACACATACATTCATACAGAACAATAACATTGAATTTTATATAATAAAATGAATGAGATGAATATGTACATACTTTGTTTGACCATTT